TGGGAAAAATAGTCCTCCCCAAGGATAAGCCCTCTAAAATTGATTATCTATTATTAAGTGGTAAACCCTAAAATTATATACCTAAAAATAGCTCTAGATGGACTGAGAAAATTGTATTTATATATTTAGGCATCTATAACTATAACACCTAAGAAAAGGGATAGTACTTCAAAAAGGCAACCAAGGGAGGGTGTATGTGGAAAGGGCTGGGGGAGGAAAAGAGAAATCATGTAAATATGTTTTAATTAAAAAGGAAAGAAATCTTTCTCTTAACTCAGTGCACAAAGATTTTCTTCTGGAAATATTTTCTTCTAGAAGTGGTTTTTCTAGGAGTGTTATGGTTTTAGTTCTTAAATTTAGGTCTACAGTCTATTTCCAGTTAGGTTTTATGTATGATGTGATGGACAAATGAGGTTATTTTATACACATCTTAGTTTGCTCCAGTACAATTTAGACACTATCTGTTTCCTCTTTGGGTTACTTTGGGCTGAGAAAGGAATTGGCTTATTATAGGAATAAAGAGGAAGTCGGTGTGGCCTGAATACAGTAAGGGAGGAAAGGAGTGTTGAGTGCCGATGCTGGAGAAGAAGTTCGGAGCCACATCATAAACACATTAGGAACCTTGATAAGAAAATTGTATTTTATTCTACAAAAATGTAATTGCTTCAAGGGTTTTAAGAGGGACATTGCATGATTCAATTTACTTCTTTTAAATATAAAGATGGGTTTTTTTTTTGAACAGGGTTCTCCACATAGCCCTGACTGACCTGGAACTCTTTCTGTGGACTAGGCTGGCCTTGAACACACAGAGATCCACCTGCCTTTGCCTCCTGAGTGCTGGGATTAAAGGCGTGTGCCACCACCACTGTCTGTTCTAAAGATGTGTTTAACAAATCTGATAAATTCACTCTGATACTTACCCATGCAATAGTTTAAAAATTATTTATTGGTATTGTGAGTTTGCACATGCATGATATCTATGTAGGTACATGTGCCATAATGCATATGCAGAGGTCAGAGGACAATGTTGTAGAATCATTTCTCTTCCTCTGTCTTTGTGTAGGTTTCGGGGATTGAATTCAGGTCACCAGGCTTTTTCAGTAAGTGCCTTTACCTGCTGGGCCACTTAACCAACTCCAGTTATTACCATAATGTATAGCTTTTGGTTATCAAAAGTGGGCTTTACCGAACTAGGAATCAAGAAGGCCTCTAAGAGAAAAATGCATGGACCCGGGAGAATGGGAAGGGGAAGGATCTCCTGAGCTAATTGGGAGCATGAGGAGCCCTCATCCAGTGGCTGATGGAAGCAGAGGCAGACACCCACAGATGTACACTGAACTGAACTCTGGAACCCAGTTGCAGAGAGGGAGGAATGAAGATCAAAGGGGTCGGGACCAGGCTGGTGAAACCCACAGAAGCAGCTAACCTGAACATGGACCCCTCCCTCTGGGAGGCCAGCACAGGAATGATCCAGACCCCTGGATGTCAATGAGGAGGCCTCAGCACTCTATGGGGCCCCTGGTAGTGGATCAGTATTTTACCCTGGTGTAAGAAGGGACTTTGAGAGCCCATCCCACATGAAGGGATGCACTCTCAGCCTGGACACATGGGGGAGGGCCTAGGCCTGGCCCAGTATGATGTTGTGGAGTTTGGGGAGCCCCTGTGGAGGGCTCTACCCTCTAAAAAACATAAAAAAGTTAAATAATATGATAAACAGAGACATGTAAATATATACATCTCTGATCTAAAAAAATAAAAGTGGGCTTTACCCCTTTAATGAAGTCATTAAAAAGTAGTAAACTGTCCTGATAGCATGATATAAATAAAGGCTATAGAACATCTCATTCTTTGTTCCTTCTCTAGTCAAACCAACATAAATATTTTTGGGAAGACTATTACCCAAGCTTTACTATACAGGGCTTCTTCAAAATACTCTAGAACAGTGTTTCTCAGTCTATAGGTCACCACCCCTCTAGGGGTTGGATGACCCTTTCACAGGTGTCACATACCAGATATTTACATTACAATTCATAACAGTGGTAGATTAGAGTTAGGAAGTGGCAATGAAAATATTTTTATGGTTGGGTGTCACCACAGCTGTATTAAGGGGTCACAGTATTAGGAAGGTTGACAACCACTGGTCTAGGAGGTCATTCTTTTCAAGAAGTAAAAGGCACTGTGGTTTGGAAATAAACAACTCTGACAAGCCTGTGAAGTAAGTCAACTTCACAAGGATGATTCAAGATTCCTTTCCCTAACTTTAGCTACTCATGGTGTCTTGCTTATGTGAAGATGATGGCATCAACTGAGTATCATTGGGACTTGAATTTCTGAGTTGCTTTTCTAATATAAACAGCACAAATGGGAAAGCTATTACTTGTACTCAGGAACAAAATTTGAGAGATATTGTTGAACTGGGGGTGTTCACATCCTTGTGGAAGGGTGAGCTAAGCTGTTACCTTGAGTTGTATTTCTTCTGAAATGTAGATTATGATTAAGATCACTGGAGCCTTTTTTTTTTTCAGTGAGTGCCATTGCATCTGTTTAAGGTTTAAATGGTAAAATGAGCTGCTGTTGAAAGTTCATGCAGAATTAAAAGGCATGTGTGAAAATCAGAGCTTGGGGGAGGTGTTAGACACATTTTCAAGTTGGACTAATCCCAAGTAAAATATAAAATACATACTATTTATCAGAAGAAATATTAGTTCTTGAATTTCACCCATGATGGGGGATACCCTTCTGTATATATGTTTCTCTTATTAGTTTATGAATAAAACACTATTTCACCAGTAGAGGCAGGAAGATAGGTGGGGAGAGGAGGATGCTGGGGGGAGAGGAGAGAGGCACTGTGAGGAGACGCCATGTAGCCGCCAAAGGAGTAACAGGTCTGGGCATTCTCGGGTAAGCCAGGGCCACGTGGAAATACATAGATTTATAGAAATTGGTTAATAATTAAGACAGAGATAGCCAATAAAAAGCCCTAGCCACCAGCTAACAGTTTTATAATTAATATAGTGTCCATGTGTTTATCTGGGGCAAAGCAGTTGTGGGACCAGTCAGGACAAGAAACTCCAGCTACATACCCAAATACGCATTTGAGTGATAATTAAACCCTTAACAATTGAAGAAAACAGATACATATTCTGTATTGACTATTTCTGCAATCCACATCATGTGGTAATCAATAAGGGTGTAGGAGAATAAATTGAAGGATGCCTGTGACTGAGTAGCCATGTAAATTTACAAATTTGAGATTTCTGTCACTAGAAGCAGTGGGCCATTTAAAGATGTAGGAAGACATTTCCAGGTAAGGCAAATGAAAAGGCATTAAAGTAGAAGACAGATTGGCTTATTAGAGGATCAAGAGGAAGGCCAGCAAGAGTGGAGTGGCAGGATTTGTGGCAGGGGATGAGGTGCAGATAATGCAATAGTTTATATAGCAGGGTGGGGGGTGCAGATTCCTTCTGAGAAGCCTTAGTGTATTTTAGGACATAACATGATGGCTGGTGTTGAACTGTCGACTAGAGGAAGGCAAGACAAGGGGATTAAGAAGCAGACTGTAGGCAGGCTGGCACAGTTGGCCAGGATTGCAGTGTGGTGATGGGGATAGAGGAGAATGGATACATTCAGGAGCGCTTGAGGGGAAGAGGGTGTGATGGAGGAAGCCAGGTCAAGGAGCAGATGGGTTTGCTTCCAGGCAAGTGGGAAAGCATCATTTCCACAGGAGCCGTTGTTTGCACTCAGGTTGTGAGGCCCTTAACCTCACAAAGCCTCTACTGTGTCTTCCTAAGCTAGAGGACCTGGCTCACCGCTGGCTTCTGATTTCTTGAGATATTTCCAGAGTTGGGGAGCTGAATTTTTCTCACACCCCTATTTTCTGGAATTCTTGGGTACCAGAGACAGTGGGAAGGAGGAGTTCTGTGGATGGTTAAATTTGCCCTGAGTTAAATTTAAGGCAGGGCACATGCAGTCCTTGGATGGCTTCACAGTTCTAAGGGAAGGGACCTCAGGAGGCTTAGTGTTTATTGTGGTGAGGGCAAGGAACGACACACAGGAGCTGTCCTTCCATACTTGCAGTGACTATGAGGTACATTCTTTCAATTTTAGTTTTACAAAATGAAGGTAGAGGTTGAGAGAGTTCTTTAATTTTAGTTTTAATTATGTGTATATGTGTAGGTACCTGTCGGGTGGATGCTGGGAACTAACCTCAAGCCTTGCAAGAGCAGTACATGTGCTAACCATTGAGCCATCTATCGGGACCCTCGGCGAGGTTCACCACGTTCTAAGGTACACAGTTTGGAAGTGATTGGACTGAAACCAGAGTCGGGTTCTTTGACTCCCGCTCGGTTCCTGTGCGGGGTTACTCTCCTCTCCAGGCTATCAACATCACTCACTTTCCACAGAGCCCCTGGTGCGGAAGGACACAATCTCCCTTTGTCTAGTATGCTGACTGTTTCCCTCACCCCCTAGCTTGCCTAGGGTTGTGCTCAGCAGGCAAGCCTGCTGGAGGCAACACATCTTTCTTGCTGCCACACCCCGGGCTTGGGCATGAGAGAGGCAAGGCAGAGCCTGTGAGCAGGACTGTGGTGTATCCACCACCGCTAAGCTGAGGGAAGCAACTCTTCAGCCTGTTCATTGCCCCGAAGGCATTTTCCATTTCATGGGTGCTCCCCCTCCCTATCCCTCTCACCCTTTGGCCCCCAGTTTCAGCTCTGGCCCCTCAGGGAGCGTCCCTGGCCGCGGGGCTGACAGCATTTGGGGGCACCAGGTCTTGTTCTCTGCGCTCTAGCCCATCTGTGCGCAGAGCCTCGTTCCCGGGCTCCCGGAGCCCGGCGGGCATTGACGTCAAACGGCAGCGGAGAGCTGCCTACAGACGGCTGACCCGGGCCCTCCTCCACACCCCCGTCCTTCCTCGCCCCCTCCCTCTTCCCGGCACCCGCTTCAGTCAGCTATAAGAAGCGGGAGAGCGCGGTGCCCGAGCAGCGACGAGGTCCAGCACCATGGAGAGCTCCCGCCTGCGGCTGCTGCCCCTCCTGGGCGCCGCCCTGCTGCTTCTGCTACCTTTGCTGGGTGCCGGTGCTCAGGAGGATGCCGAGCTGCAGCCCCGAGCTCTGGACATCTACTCTGCCGTGGAGGATGCGTCCCATGAGAAGGAGTTGGTCAGTATTCCCCTCGCCTAGGGTTCCCCCTGGGCTGCCGCGGGCCCTTGCTTTGCATGCGTCCCTCCTCTGTCCCAGTCCCACCAAGAGGGCAGAGCTCCTGGAGCCGGGTTTAAAAAAAAAAAACCAAAACCCTAGTACTTTCTATCAGACAAAGATGTTAAGCGAATTCCTGGTTGTGACTGTTCTGGGCACTGTGTGCCTTGGTGGCTCTGGGAGGTGAAGTCAGGTCTAGGGACTTTGCCCGCAGGGCTTCCTCTCCATTACCATCTATCCCCTCCTCCTACTTGTCCATCCTTCGAGTACCACCGCCCTCCAGTTGTGTGTCTTGGGCTCCTTATAACTGGGCTGAAAGTGAGCACCTATGCTGGGCTCGCAGCCAAGGCGGCAACTTCGGGCTCCGGGCGCTGTGTTGCAGATTGAAGCGCTGCAGGAAGTCTTGAAGAAACTCAAGAGTAAACGTATTCCGATCTACGAGAAGAAGTACGGTCAAGTCCCCATGGTAAGGCTCTGATCACCCTTCCCTTACTTTTCCAGGAGTAAGACTGACATGAGTCTTACACATGGTCTTTACTCTAGCAGGTGGCTGAGCAGCTCAGGTGATGTCCTCTTTGCTTTTGCTCTACCCTTTGCTTACAGGTCTCTAAGGGCAAGGGGGAACAGACTTCTAAAGCCAGAATACAGTCTGTGATCTGAGTGGGAGTATTTTCTGAAACATCTTAGCTGAACCAGCTTTAACTCCCTTAATTCCTCCTAGACCGTGATAAGATTTTTCTTTATCATTTTGTTGTTTTGTTTCTTAAATTCCGTGATAAAAAGTTTTCAGGACTGGTCACGGTTGTTGGGACAGTTCTAGGTAAATCTCTCTCTCTCTCTCTCTCTCTCTCTCTCTTTCTCTCTCTCTCTCATACACAATCTTCTGTTTTCTTTCTTTGGGTGAGGAAGTGAGAAAGAAAACAAAAGGTTATGGGAAAGTATATTGTATATTCTTAGATGCAAGGGTCTGGGTGATTTTTCCCTCTTTAGATAAACAAGAAATGGAAGCTCAAAATGTGCTCCCTTAAATTTCTTCCTTTAAATATTCTTTTTCTGAAATTATGAACCTGGGACTCCAGTCTCCCCGGGGTTGGGGTCTGGGTCTGACTGTACTTAGAGTGGAGGTGTTGGTGGCGGTCTAGTCATTCCTCTCAAGAGACTGCTCCTTTGGGACCACAGTAACCATTGGTTGTGTTGTTGACAGTGTGATGCTGGAGAGCAGTGCGCAGTGCGGAAAGGGGCCCGGATCGGGAAGCTGTGTGACTGTCCCCGAGGAACTTCCTGCAATTCCTTCCTCTTGAAGTGCTTATGAAGGGGACAGCCTCCCCTTTAAGTTCCCACATTCCCTCTTTCCCCAAAGGAGCACTCTTTTATCCCTGGAGTCTGGCTTTAGCAACAATAAAGTTTGCATTCCCTTCCGAGGGTGGATGGGCTCTTTCCCTGCTGTTTCAAAATAAAAGAACACATTTGACGTTACTGTGTGAAGGACATTGCCTTGCATGGTGTTGGTTATGTGTGCAAAGTATTTTTTTCTCGTTTTATTCATCTGACACATTCTCGTGAACCTTTCTGGGAAGAAGAATTTTGCTTTAAAACTGTATTTTTGTATGTGGTGTGTCAGAATGAAAATTAGATCTAGTTAATTTTGGTAGATGACATCACAACCTGGGAAATAAATTACCCTAAGCAACACAAATTGAAGCATGTACAAATTATACATAATAAAGCATTTTTAATAATTGCTCATAGTGCATGGCTGTTTCTACATAGGCAATTTAAGTAGGAATGATGGGATTAATCATGCTGTTGTTTTGAAAGAGAAATATTTTTTAAAAATAGCTGTCTATTGGGAGAGCAGCACCTCAGCTCCAATGAGTTTTGATCATTAATTAGGTGTATGCTACACCAGCGTCAGTATGCTCTGTTCTCTAACTACAGTGGTTTGGTGGTGGTGGTGGTGGTGGTGGTGGTTGTGTGTGTGTGTGTGTGTGT